TCTTTGGGTTGACAGCTATCACAAAATAATACTTAATGCTGTTCTGCCTTTAGCAAAAAAGTTTACATATCTGTCAGATTATGGAAAGTTGGCTTTTAAACATCAGTAGTTACACAGATTCTGAAATGCAAAATATCCTAAATATAACATTGTCCTCTAAAAAGCATACATTAAAATATTTGAGTTCCACTCACTTAGTTCTGGAAAAAAAGAAAACCTATCCATTATAATTAAGATTTTCTACAACAGCTGCTTTAACAAAAATCAGCTCAACTTCAGTCTCATGAGACAAACAACAGAAAAAAAGCCAAATGTAAAATCCTGTTTCCTGTCAACTTAAGCAGATGTTTTTATGTAATCAAATGCAAACCACTATTGTGGAGGCCCAGTATAGACCATATCCTCCTCCATCATATTCAGAGGAAAAGTTTAGAAAAAAGATTAACAAAGGGGAGAGGGAAAAAAAAAAAAAAATCATTTACTGAGCTTGTAGCAACAAAGACTAAACAAACTGCAAACCTAACTCATTTTGAAGGAAGCTTGCAAATTAAATTGCCTGTTATAGACCAGTTGCTGAGTTTAAATTTGTAAACAGACACAAAATTTGAAAGAAGAATCCCAGGATGTACTTGGCAAGGACACAAGTCATACAGCGAAATTAATTTAAAATAGATGTCTCCTTGTTACTAATTTTGTGTGCTAGTTAGATATGTAGAGCACTTCAGCAGCCACTGAAGCACTGTTAAAAGTTTGGCAACATGCCAACGTATCCCTGAACAACAGGAGATTTGTTCTGTTCTGAGAAATCTGAAGTTATTTAGATAGGCATCACCAAGTGGATGTTTGGGTTGGTTTGGTACAGTTGCGTTAATGCATATGCTGTACTAGAAATACAAAACTCTAGAACTTTTGGTTCAGAGATGATACCTTTTATTTGACTAACTAAGAAATTGCAAAAAAAAGTATCTTTTTCTGCAAACTTTTGGGCACACGTGCCCTTCCTCAGGCTCAGGGAAAACTAAAGATGGTAAAAATTCCCCATAGGTCCCTATTAAACTTCACTTGTGCACAGAGGATACAATCTACTGGATACAAAATCATGGATTCTATATAGACATTGGTTTTAGGACACATTACAACCTGCCTGACATCTGATTTAACACCTGCTTGACCTGACCTCTTACATTCTTCTTTTCCCCCACCTTTTCTCTCCTCCCCTCCCCTACTTCTCTGCACTTTGTCTCTCTGATGTCCTACTATTTCCTTCTTCATTGAGAGCTTCTTTCTTACTCTGTATTATTATTACCTCTGATGTTTCCCTTTGGCCTTTTTCTCCCGCTTTACCTTTTGTTTTTCCTTTCTACCTATATTGTCACTACATCCTCTCACATTTTGAGATTCTCTCATCCCCGTTTTCCTATCTTCTTTTTCATTGACAGCCTCTTTTCTACCTTGTATTCTATCACTGTAATGACTCCCTTTAGCCTTCCCCCACCTCCCCCTGCTCTCTTCCTCCTCCCCTTCTCTACTTTACCTTTTTGTCTTTTTAATTTCTACCTATTTACAATCTCACCAACATCCTGCCACACTTAACTTCTCTCATTCCTTGGAGTCTCAAACCAGCAGAGACTCCCTATGCCTGAAGAAGGGTGACTGCACCCAAAAGCTTGCTAAGAACTTTTTTCCAACTACATACCCAGCTGGTTTAATAAAAGATAATCACATCTACTCAAATAACCTTGTCTGCCATTTTTGCCCAGAGGAAGCTGAAGGTGGAAGTCTGTTCCTCTGGGTCCCTGGGAGTATCTTTGTGAGCTGCTCTCTGATGTGCAGATAAGGCAGGATTCCTTCCCTGGTGGTGTCAGATGGCAGACAGGCAGGCAGGTGTAGAAATCTTCCTTGTTGTTCAGCAGTGAAGTTTACAGTAATGCTGTACTAGGGAACAGGGCAACGTTTCCCCACAGGAAACAACATTTTTCACAAGGAATGCAAGACCTTTGGTATTAACCATGTAGTATCAGAAGAATAGCCTGTCAACAAAACCAAAAAGAAAAAAAAAAGGCAGGGAGATGCAAGACAAAGGCACTTCTGACACATGGCTTGATACCCCAGGTCTTCAGCTTGTGCTGTCTGAAACAGAAGGGTTGAAATACCAGCAAGGTTTATCAGGGATTGCCACATTGCAGTGCTTGATTCTTCTCTTCAAGCATGCTTCTACTGTACTGAAGGGAGGAGGTTGTGCTTTTAACAATGAAGGAAAAGCGGGGAGGGGGTACGTTAATGAAGACAGCCTTTCCAAGCAAAGTTTCCAGCTGGTTTTACTGAGGACAAACCAGTTCAGAAAGACATCCAAGGAAGTAAGATTTCCAAAAGAGATGCTCTCCAGGCACACAGGGAAGACAAGATTGGACGATTTGGTTGGGGTGAAGAGATCCATTAGCTGTCACTAGGATAATGGCCTCTCCCTTCAACAAAGCACTAGTATTTATGTAGGTTACTACCTCTGCAGACCTCAACAGCAGCTTGGGGGAGGGGGAAGCCAGTAGCAGACCAGCTTCACTACCCTATTTCCAGGTTTGATGCATGCTTGGAAGTGCTCCTTCCTGGAAGCGCCAAAGGTTCAGTACAGACACTGCCTTAAAATGAGCTGCACCAAGGGAAATAAATTACAGAGGCTAAAGGACCTTTGCTAAGTATAACTCCATCAACACTAGGGCGTTTGTCAGTGTACCTAAGCCAGCTAAGGGTGCTTGAAGGCAGGTCAAGCCCAAGGGACTGACAGAGACAGTAACACCTTCAAAATCTAGCCCACAAACATTAGCATGTGGCTTCATCTGTCCTATAATCATTAGGCCCTCCACGCAGTAGAGCTGCAGTAGTGCGAGCAAGTCTGAAGTACACATCCACCTCCTACTATCACGACAGTCTCTGGGGCTTACCCGTGGTGTGCCTAAATCACCTCCAGGCTTCAAAACAGAATTTCTGAAAATCTTTATAATTCTTTGTTGTATGACATACATACTGAGAAATATGGTCACTACAATACTGCATCTATTTTTGTTAGAATGATACAGAGCTAAAGGGGGAGATGGAGTCATGGGACTTCCTTAGGGACATGGCACGTTATTCAAAATAAACAGCAGCTACCTTGCTTTAAATCCTGCTCCTGCTCTGGGACCTGTGGGAAATGGGGTACTTCCCTTCAGTTACATAATGTACTGGTGTCTTTAGAAGACGGAAACGAGTGGAAAACATGGCACTAAGAATTCCTAGATGCAATTACATTATTTCCACTTGGTATTCAAGGGACACACCTGGTTGGCCTAACAATTCCCTATGTTAAATGTTACCTTATTAATGGAAGCTGCACCTTCAGCATTCTGGGTGTGCACCTGATTCCTAGCCAAAATAAATCCTCGCTGTTCTCATAAGCCACATTGTATTGTACCCTGCGTATAGTAGAGGTTTTTGCATGCGTTTCAGTATCTTAGCTCGAAACCCTAGAGTAGAGGCCAGTGTTGCTTATGCTAGCTTCAAATGGGAGCTGAGCCACAAATGACACAATCTTGACTTTAAACTATTGAATCACCACAGCAGATAAAAAGACTCTGGATTCAAAATTGCTGCATGTCTCTCTCACACTGTTGCATACACTGTAAGTCTGAAAAGGCCAATTACATCATGCCATTATTTCCCCCCACCAGCACATTATTTGGTATTGCACATTCACTACTCGGTCCATTCTTTAAGTATGCTAAGCGATGCTACTTCTTTCACCACCCCAGGGAGATTACTCCTCAGGCTACAAGTCTATCAGGGGTTGAATATGAAGAAAGGCTCCAAATTCTCTATTTCTCCATTTACACCCTTCATTTGTGGTCACAGCCCCTCATGTTAAAATTCTAACCCATAATAAAATCCTTCAGTACAACATATGGTTTTACCCTCACCAGACAAAAGACTAAAATCACACTGGAATTTTTGGAAGGCGGGACGTAATTATATAGTGGAAATTTATCCAGGATGCTAATCACCGGCAGGGGGGAAAGGATACATTTTTTAAATTACTAAAAACCCTATTCATAAAGTACCCTATACAACTGTCAGTACAAACTGAGACATCCCTATTAAATTACATCTATATCCTGCATGCTACTGTGCTAATAAGTTGTGTAAATGAGCAAGACATGACCATTTTGACAAGCTGTCAGGAAGCACATGTAATAAGGATCAGAAGCATCACAAAACAAACGTTAGAAAAGCATACTGATAGTTGAAGTTGTTGCCATGACATTTTCAACTGCACTTATAAGAAAAGAAGAGCTTAGGGTTTAGCTGTTCTTAGGTTTCATGTAAAAGCTGTTACCACTGTATTGTGCTCTCTGTGTTACCCTCAGAGGTCGAAAAGAGGTACTCAAAAGTTGTTTAAAAAGCCACAAGACTAATCCCAATGACTCCTTTGAGAATGACTTGGCCTGTTTTATAACAGGTAGCTTGAACCGCTGAACTACCGAGTTGCTCAAAGAGAAAGCACTGCATGCATTCCCTCGGGGATGGCAGTAGATGTTACTTTTCATGGGGATTTCTCTTCCTGCCCTCAGCAGAGGAAATTTTTCTTCATCTGTCCCATTCCTCTGAGTACAGAAGTGACTCTGCACGTGGGGCAAAAAGCTTGCAAAGCCTACATCCAATGAATAAAAGCTTGCAGTGAAAAGGGGTGTCCAGGTGCACCTACCGATACACCCAGAGAGACCACTAATCACACTAAATATTAGCTTTTAAAATCAAAGCTTTCTTGCCAAGGCAGAGAAGCAGCAGCAGGAGTAGGACCTCCAGTGAAGCCAAGAGGAGCTGTGCAGCTGCTGTGTGCAGGCACCAACTGCAGCCCCCGCAGCGGCTTCCCGCACCCAAGAGGCGCAGGTATTTGTGCCCGGGGGGGCGCAGGGCTCCGCCGGAGGCGGGCAGGGATGCCGAGCTGAAGCTCGCCCAGCCCTGCGAAGCGCAGCCGGGCTCCCGGATCCCACACCAAGGTCGGGCGGCCGCGACCACCCTGCCAAGCGCCTCCGGGCTCCCAGCGACAAGACAACTTCGCCGGCGGCTCTCGGGAGCTCCGCGCCGGGGCAACAGGTGCCCTCTGGAAGCGCTGTGCTCTGGCAGCCGGCCCGGCCCGGGCCGCTCGGGCAGCGCCCCACAGACCCCGGGCCCCCGCCTCCCCCTCGACACCGCGGCGCGC